ATTTGGACAAAAGATACATAATTATGTAGGACAAATAACCACAAGCTGCAAAGGGCCCATTTTAAAAACTACATTCAGTTTAACATTCAGTCAATAAGATTTTTTTCAGTGCTGTAACAACCTTTAGTTTTAGCAGCATTTGTTAGATTTCTCTACTTTCCAGGATTTTCAAATTTTATTGGCGGGTGAAGTCAGTGTGACTTCTGCTTCACAAATTTTGCATTCACTTTTGAGCATTTGGAGTCACATAACACAACAAAAAAGCAATGTATTATTCCCTAAACAAAAGTTAAAATAACAGTAAAAAATTCTAGACAGCTTTGGATAACCTTATTAAGTCACTCTCCTTTTGATGAGGATGCCATTTCAGAGTGTGCTTTTGGCACGTATGAGCTATCATGACCGAAACATGAAGTAGCCACGGGCCTCATGTTGGAATCTGCTGCTGACCTTGAAAGGCTCAAATATCCTTGATGATCATCATTTGTGTGATCTTTATAGTAATTTTGCTTCTACGGTACTTGTACACACATGGAAAATTCTTCAATTTAAGTGTTTGAAATCAAGTTTACAGTGCTTTCAGTTAAAGTAGATTGTATTTGTTTTGAAAAAGGTATGGAAAAAACTATTTTGCAATTATTTTGAAAATTTCTGGAGTCAAAGTGACTCCCTCCATAAACTCACTGGCATCACCTTAAACATTTTGGCGTAACATACGGCATTTTCGTGAACCCTGGCTTTCTAATGCCCAGTTCAGATGTAGAATTGACTTCCATGGATTAACAAGCCCTAGAATATCAATCTGCATGGAGAACACTTTTTCAGTTCCATGTGCTAAGATCATGAGTACCTATATGATACAATGAAAATGGAAAAATCTCTGCGTTATTAAACAAAAAGGTGTGTGTGTGAATTGTGCCAGTCTCAAAGGTCCACCCCCCCAGCATTTGTTGGTCCTGGCAGTGGGGAATTTGTCATAAAACCTCTGACATAGTTGATACAACTTCAGACAAGAAATTTTCAAGGACTTTTCAAGGACAACTTACAGTTTTCAAGGACTAAGATTTCTTCAATAAATCCGCATTCTTTAACCCTCTTCTGAATACCTGTTATTGGCTATTTACACTTACAGTGTCTAATGGAATTATTTACATTATTTTTTACTTCAGCCGTGGTTGATCACATCATTCTATACTACTAGTCAAAAACGGTGGATTTTGTAGTTATTTTTAGGACAAATTTTGCTAGAAATTGATCAGTTTTCCGCTGATTAGACCAGCGTTTTTAATGTTTTTCTTACAGAGGTCATCATTTGCTCTTTCAACAACAATATGCTCCAGAAATGAACCAACGGCAAAGCCTTTAACATCATGGCTAGTGCCCAGTTTTTGGCAACATAATCTACACATGGTAGTTTTGAGATGTTGTTTGCACGTTCCAGTGACAAAGTTTTAAGATAAATTTACAAGTTTACAGCAAGTAAATAGCCCCAACAGCTGAGACAAGTATCAAAAACACTGTACAGACATGTATTTGACAAGATTTCCACCGAATTTCGCGGTATTTTGCATGTTTTTGTGAATTTCACGGGATTTCGTGGATTTCCCTGAATTTTGCAGCTCCGCGACCACGTGAAATATCAGAAACCCTGTCACGTTAAGCTCGTCGGTTGTTTGTTTATCATTCACTATATTAAATTTCTTAGAAGATAAGAAAGGTATTATCAAAATTCTAGTTTATACTTCTGTCTGATATTATTCAGATAAATGTGATCCTTTTTGCAATAATTACATGTATAGCTAGTGGCTAGCAGCAACTTGCATCGGGTGTTTCATTTGTTTTGATCAGATTATTACAGATTTCCAATAAATATGGCATTTGCAGCCTATTTATTGGAAAATGCAACTTTCGTGTTGACTGGGGGTGGGGCATTTGCACCCTTTTTTAAACTCCACCATGGGGCATTTGCAGCTTTTCCAAAATAATAACAATAAAAAATGACAAATGCCTGACAAATGCCCTTGGAATTGATTGAGTCATAAACAAAACTGTTTTTTTGTCAATCATGCCTGATTATTTGTTGTAAAGCCATTAACATTTCCATAAACAAAATGCAAGTGTACTCAGATGTAACAGTCTGTTAAGAGTGTTCCAGTGTGGATAAATTTTTTCAAGACAAATATTATCACCATAAAAGTTTTAGGTTTAAATGTTTCAAAGACACAGGGTTGTCAATAGAAGCTGGCAGCCGGTGGAAATCTGCCATTTGTTGGACTAGTTTGCGTTGGCTACTATGTCCAAAATGTTTCCCTAATTTTAGAGAGTTTTGAAAGAAAGCTGTCATTCCATGCTCCGACAAGTTGCAAAAAACACCTCTACGTCGTATAAATCTATGGAAGTTCATCTAGTTTCATTTCACCCTTCTTTCTCATTTGCATTTGTTAAAAAAAAACGGAAGCACACAATTTCATCATGGGTGTTGTTGACAGATAGTATGGAGTTCGTGGTAATACGTGGGTAATGTCCACTGAACGTGTCAGATTCTCAAAGTTCTTTACTAGTAAAGGTATGTAAACTAAATAAAGGCTCCGCATTAGCACACAAAACAATTGTCCAAGACAATTCCCGTTTTGTGTGCTAAAGAGGAACGACGTGTCTAGATACCCGGCAGCCGGGAACTGTTTTCAAAAAACTAGATACCCGGCAGTCAGAAATTTTGACCAATTTTCTCCAAATAGCTCGTTTAATTCCTCTAAGAACATAATATATTTGTTTAGAAATGTCAAGCGATTATAAATATTGCCTTGGGTTAAAAGTAGAAGCGACTGTCGAGCTTGGGCATAGAGTGAAATCTCAATGTTTTCGACACTTCGAAAATATTCAAGTTCTGACACACTGAGTCAACTCGCGATGAATATCCACAGAAATTATCAACGAAACCTCACCAGAGTATTTAGTGTTTGTTCAGAAATGCCAAGCGATTCTAAATAAAGGTTTTCGTGTTGTTGTGGACAAATTCTCCGCGCTTGCATTAAGCATATTCTTTAGAATCTTGACTCACGGGTACGGGTTTCAAAATACTAGATGCCCGGCAGTCGGAAATTCACCACCAATTTACACGAAATATCCCATTGAATTTGTGTAAAAACATCAGAAAGTTGTTTAAAAGACTCAAGCGATTTCAAATACTGCTTTGGGCTTGAAGTAGAGGCAACCATCGAGCCTTCTTGACCTGTTTTTGCCGTTCTCCTTGCCATCGCCGGATCGTGAAGTCCGTAGCATTTGCGTCACGCAATTGTAGTGTTACACCGGAAGTTGAGGGCACTCTTCTGCCGAGTCGACAAATTTCACGTTGTTTATAAGTCAGAGGAACGTCTCTGGAGGATATCTGTTAAGACTACAGACTCTTTATAATTTTACATCCAAATCGAGTAGACTCAGCAGATGTCGAGAAAGATTTTCGTGAAAGTACACTGAGAATTTCCGACTGCCGGGCATCTAGCATTTTGAAAGCCACGCCTGTAAGTGAAGATTCCAAAGAAAATGCTTTGTGCAAGTGCGAATTCATGCACTAAAATACTAAAACCTTCCTTTGAGAATCGCTTGGAATTTGTGCCAACAAACATTAAATGCTTAGGGAAGGTTTGGACAGTATGTTTGTGGATTAGCCAAGAGCTGATTAATCGCGTCAGGCTCAGTGTGTCAGAACTTGAATATTTCAAAGTGTCGAAACTATCAAAATTTCACTCTATGCCCAGGCTCGACGGTTGCCCCTACTTCAAGCCCAAAGCAGTGTTTGAAATCGCTTGAGTTTTCTAAACAACTTCCTGATGTATTTACACAAATTCAGCGAGATATTTCGTGTAAATTGGTGGTGAATTTCTGACTGCCGGGCATCTAGTATTTTGAAAACCATACCCGTGAGTCAAGATTCTAAAGAATATGCTTGATGCAAGCGCGGAGAATTTGTCCACAACAATACGAAAACCTATATTTAGAATCGCTTGGCATTTCTGAACAAACACTAAATACTCTGGTGAGGTTTCGTTGATAATTTCTGTGGATATTCATCGGGAGTTGACTTAGTGTGTCAGAACTTGAATATTTTTTAAGTGTCGAAAACATTGAGATTTCACTCTCTATGCCCAAGCTCGACAGTCGCTTCTACTTTTAATCCAGGGCAATATTTATAATCGCTTGACATTTCTAAACAAATATCTTATGTTCTTAGAGGAATTAAACGAGCCATTTCGAGAAAATTGGTCAAAATTTCTGACTGCCGGGTATCTAGTTTTTTGAAAACATTTCCCGGCTGCCGGGTATCTAGACACGAGCAAAGAGGAAAGGCCCTAATCAACCATTTGGCCATCGTGTCCTGTATCAACTGCAAAATTAAAAAACTGCAATCAAGGTCACAAACAACTCCTCTGATCCCTGTGCAAAAGATGTTACCAGTGGATTCAGTGGACGCCTTGCGTGATGGCAACTCCATTGCAGGACGTGCGACTTTTGAATGAAGGTTTGAATAAAGGTGTCCGCAAAATCCAAGTGTGGAAGCTCAAAGCCATAAAAAATAGGCTAGACGAGTTCGAATCACTCTAAGATGTGTAAATAATGTAGTAGAAAAAGCTATTCTTACCTTTAAGATCGAATAAAGACTGACTCTAAACTCAACCACCGACCGTCGATCGAAGAAGTAAGCGAACACCCGGGCTTTCCGGTCAGCGGCTACAAAGGAGGGAGGGAGGGGAGGGAAAGGGGCTTTCCCCTCCCCACTCCCTTTGAGTCTAGAGAACTTGCTGCCTTTGCTACTTTTGCTGGCAATCTCTACAGTTGGACTACGAAACTTGTCGAGCTCCAAGAAACCTGCTTGCAGTGTGGGATGTAAATATACTCTCAAATAAAGCGTTAAAGCATAATCGGCCGGTCCGCCGCTGCAAATTTCCATGACAACTTCACAAATACAAGATCGCCAAAAACGCGTGTGTTGATTGGTTCGTTGGTGTTCGACTTCTTGAAGGCCAGAAATGGCTCTATTCTTGACTCCTTGGGCAAGTTATCGAGGCAAAATGATATTTTTTCTTCCTTATACGGCGTATTTACGTCAGGATTTTTTAAAATAAGAACTAAAAATTCTATTGTTATCGAAAGGTACGGATGGCGGGCTAAATTTCTCGTTTTGATGATGGCAGTAAAATGGCGATCGAAGCTAAAATCGAGATGCTATTTGGTGGATGTCAAACTTAATTCCAAGGAAAAGGTTGCGAGATTCCAGAAGAATTTTAAGACCTCTCTCGAATAACTAGGATGTCCACGACTTCCTCTAGCGGTGAAACGATTGAAATTACAGATGACAACTTTGTAAGTAAACTTTATACATGTAAGCTTAGGAACATGTTTATTAAATGCATAAATTGCTTAAATTGGAGAACATAGCCTATTTCTCCAAGGAAAAACGTAGAGTCAGTTGAGTTATTGCATTGTCAACGACAATTTGATGGGAAATCCCCTTGTATGTAATACCTTAACATAGAAGTGTATTTAAGACACGTTTTGAAATAGGTCTGATAGATAAAACACAGAGGAAGCGCCTGCCCAGTCCTTGTTGATCAAGTTAAAATGCGATTAATACAGCCAAGTAGCAATATGCAGCAGTTACATTTCCTCAATGCTGCCTTGCAATGACGTGATGGATTTTACTCATTTTAAAACTGTCTGACTTTGCTACCTGTTTGCTGCCGCAGTGGTTTATTAGTTTGCTGTCAAAGCAACAAACATGTAGACGGAATCCGCCAGGACACTGAGTAATTTTGATTTTCAGTGGACAAAAATCTTGAACCAGAATAATTAACAGCATATTGCATTCTTTCTTACATTTTTCAAGGGCTAAAGATGTAATGAATCATCTGTAGTAACACCAAAAAAAAATTCTGATGGGAGCCCGAGAAAACGAATGTCAAATTTCACAAAATTACATCTTACACATGAAAATTTTAAAATTTTACCGGTATAATCCCAATTCTTGTGAAATTTGACATTCATTTTCTCGGACTCCCATGAGAAAAATTCTTTAGTGTTGCTGCAGATGATTTAATTACACCTTTAGCCCTTGAAAAATGTAAGAAAGAAATATGCAATATTCTGGTACAAGATTTTTGTCCACTGAAAATTAAAATTACTCAATTTCGTGATGGATGCCGTGTTAATAACCTTGATGTAAGCTTAATGCTTTGATCATATATTTTCTTATTTTCTAGTCCTTATAAGCTGCATTTTTTTCGTGTTTTGTAAGCGTGTTCAGGTGGAGTCAAAATTGGCTTTAATTGTTGCCAAACCCACTCACTGTGTGGTAGCAATTTTGCAGAGATGAGCCTTTAGACAACCTTTGAGGCTGCTATTCCACCCTCTTGTCTTGCAATTGCTGATTCCTCTGTCAGCAAGATCGTTATCTGCCACTTGGATACATTGGAATGTAGTTTCGCGCGTGTAAAGAGGGGTTGGTATAAGGCAACACATGACTTTTACCTTGTGCCAAAGTGCTGCTATTGGGGCTGTTTACTTGTTGTAAACTTGCAATTTTATCTTGAAACTTTGTTACTGAAATGAACAAATGATGCCCTAAAACTACCAGGTGTAGATTATGTTGTGAATAACTGGGCACTAGCTGTGATGTTAAAAGCTTTACCATTGGCTTTCTCAAGCATATTGTTGTTGAAAGAGCTAATCATTATCTCTGTTAAAAAAATGATAAAAACACCAATCAGATCAATACAAAACCAATCAATTTTTAGCAAAATTTGCTCAGAAAATTCCCTAAGAAAACAAAACTGGAAGTAGCCCCACCGGGATTTGAACCTGCACCCCAAACTCCTCCAGTGCAAAAAGTGCGACCTCATACCACTGGTTCATGCAACCACTGAACAGTGTAATTCGTAAAATTAATAGTTTTAAAGTATTGGTTCTCTGCCATTCACACTGTTTGAACCTTGTGGAGCTGTCTTTATCATGAATTCAAAGATACATTTGAGGAACAGTAGCTTAAACGAGTATTTCAAAACTATTTTGCATTATTTCCGCGTTTTCTCGGGCTTTATATAGGCTGTTGATGAATGCAGTGTGGTCTTCTTCGCTGCTCTCCCTGAAGTTCAGTTCCCTGTTCTTAGCCACTTGTCCAATTGGGCACTGTTATGTTCGCAGCCTGCTGCTTTTTGCCTCAGAAATTCTTTGCGATTCGCCAGGTGATTTGCTAACGTACAGTGGAGGATGAGCGCTAGTTGGTGGCCGTTTTGCCTGGAAACCCAAAATGCATGATGCATTTTTAGGTTCAGAGCCTCCCTCCAGTCTGAATTTCCAGAGCTGTTAAGCCCCCCTCCCGAGAGATTTTCCAGCATGCCTTCCGTCGTGGGGGCGTGGATTTTCTCTGGAATAACCCATTATACCATGGGAATGGCTTAGGAAATCACAAGAAGTCCTTACATGTACATAGCTTAAACATTATTTTGCTTTAACATTATAATGATATGACCAATAGCAGAGTGCAAAGAAAGTCATTTTTAAAGGTTGCCATTCGGGCAGGCTGAAGCTAGAATATACTAGCCCAAACGTCATTTTAACTAGCACCAAAAACATTTTGATAGCAAAATCCACTAGCCCTGGGCTATCGGACACTACTGTCTTTGCACGCTGAATAGTAATCTTAGTCAGTGATTCGGGAGTGATTCGGGAGAGTCAAGGCATGATAATTATTATATGAAAAAGTGACAAATTTAAAAACGTTGTTTTAATTAAGAGTTACATGAAAACCATCATAATTTCACTTGTGTAAAGAAGATCAAATAATGTGCATTCCTTCAATTAAATGTACAAGAATTGTAGGAGAACTTTCTAACTGGTCAATTCCCCACCTGCTAATTTCATATATCTGCCAACTTGAAGTCTGAAGTGACAGCCCTGCACTGAAAATGCCTTTTAGTTGCATAAATGGGTGACAAAGTACCTAACAATATTTTTTTGTTTGTTATTTCATTGCAACTCATTTATTCATACCATTGCAATAATTATGTTATATACATATAGAAATGAAACAAAACTCTATCGACATGTATAGTGTGCTGTTGTGGGCATTACTTTTAATATTATTATTGTCTGTGTTCATTGAGATTTAACATCATTAGCCTGTGTATAATTGGAAATGTTCTCAGGAGCGTCTTGAGAGTGGTGCCACTTTGATTATTACTTTTTTGATTGGCATCTCCATCAGTGAAACTGTATATTTACAGTGCATGCAAGCAACTACATCTGTCTACACCTCAGGTTCTTTATTCACAAGCAATTTCCACGTTTATACTAACATAAACTCATTGCTTTTCAGGAAACCTTTCTGTCAGATGATGAAGGATTTGTAGAGTTCTTTAATGCATTCTTAGCATTACCTGTAAGTTTTTCCCACACTAATTTTGTATTACATTAACTTGTGTCTGAGTCATTCAAGTATCTTAGGTTTACCACCATTGTTACTCAGGTGCATGGTTGTCCTTCTTAGGAGGCAATGAGGCATTTTTTCTTGGCTCGGCAGATGGCCATGGTACATTCAAACATGACCAGGATTAATTATTATATTTATGGTCTGAACCACATAATGTTGCTTCAACCTTGTTGTAACACTTACTCCTCATTCTCAACAATTTTGCCAAATTAGACAGTTTGGGCATACCTGTACCTCTTTTTCTGAGATCTTTTTGTTAGCTGAGGTCAATTTAATAGAACTTTTTAAAAGAGAAGTGCAATGAAAAAGTGTCGCCATTGTTTTAGAGTCTGAATACAGTAGCTGTACCAATAAATTTCACTTGTAAAAGTTTATATATAACGGAGCTCTGGTCTTTTGCTCTTTCCTCCACCAGTGGCTCAATTGGAAATTTGGAAATGAAAATAAAAACTGGGTTATTGTACCCCACACTGTTCAAAACAAAAAACAGTTGTAATCTATTCATGTTGACCTTCAGCAGCATGATTGAAATAAAATTGTTGTTCTAAGGAGGTATTAAACTGCTGTTTTTTTTAAAAAAATAATTAAAATGAAATCCGAGTTTTTGCCGATCAACGGCGTGATGATGATGATGCCGTTGATTGACAAAAGCTCTGATTTAATTTTTATTTCTTTTTTTAAAAACAGCAGTTTCATGCCTCATTAGAACATATTTTTATAAAAAAATGGTTAAGAAAATAATTAAGATTGGCTTTTTTTCCCCATTCTCATTCCATCTCAGTTCCTCTTTCCTGTCCTGTTTTTTTCCGTCACCACTAGCTTTGTTACTTCAGATAATAATTATTATTTTTCTCTCATCCCTAGTATGTTCATCCAGCAAAAAATACCTTTTGAAAATAAAATGTGTTTTCAGTGCTTTGCAGAACGGTTGTTCTATAACAACGAGCTTGAAGTTTTTGAAGAATTCATTGAAAAATTAGCAGATGACGTGGGTAAAGGAGACGCCAAAAGCGCATCACAGTTGCGTCAGTTTACACACTTCAAGGGAACCATATACAATGTTGCTGACAATCAATCTCGTATTGGTTACTACGTAACTGTTCTTGATAAAGTTCATGGGCTGGAATTTGTTAAGAAACACAGACTACCCTTATTTATGAGAAGCGAGCTGTATGCTGAATTTAAACTTTCCAAACACTTGTCCGCCGTCCAGGTTAGTAGATTAAATTGTAAAGTATCGTTTCAAATGCATAAGATAGCATTTGTAGATTAAAGTATAAGATATATTTAAATTGAGCAGGGCCGAGTTGTTCAAAGGCCGATTATCGCTTAACCCGGGTTTCTTTTTCTTGTGTTCAAAAGCATTTTCTGGGATAATTCTCTCTGTTATTTTTAGAGCTTCCAATCATCAACTTGTAGACAAAAAGAATTAAAACTGAAATGCGTTTTAAGCTTTCAAATCTGGATTCAAATCTCGCACTAACCCTGGGTTATCTGAACCCAGCTTTGAACAACTCAGCCCTGTTCTTCCAGGGGTTATTGGTCAGCAAAAAACCTCAAATACTTATTAAATATATATCAACATCACACAGAAAGTGCTGAGTGGGCATAAAAAAGGCTTAAACCTCGTTAGCGTACGTGTAGCCGCATCCTTCCCACCTCCGAAACATAATTTTGAATTTGCCATTGATGTGTTGTAGGCACATAGTTTACTAGTGAAGGCTGATGTTGTTTGTCACAACGCTTCACAAATATAACGTGAAACTTTACCACTCAAAACAGTAAAGCGCATGCTCTTTTTAGGCTACGTTCTGATTTATAATCAAGAAGTCAATTTCAATTTTCACATAACATTTCTACAATTAAATGTGATTAAAATGTTCTGTAAAAACTGGTTTTTCCCTTACTTCCGGGTATTTGCCTCGAGCTCCCGATAACTGGAACTTTTTTCCATTTCCCTTGAAGGTTCGAGTTATCGGGAGTCGGCTTTATCTTTTTAAAACCGCTCTCCAGAGTGGAGATTTGTGAAAACGTCGTTTTGCCAACGTTTTGCCTGTATTTCTGTGGAGTTTGTGGATGGTGAAAACGATTCACGGTCACGGTGTTGGATCCAGTCTATCCCGTGCACGAGATTAGTAAATGCGCATGCTCCCGTTAACATGATCAAAGATAGTACCGCTGTCACAGCGTTTTGGGCATCCCCGCGTTTTGGGCATCCCCATTCCCATATCCCTAGCGTTTTGGGTATCCCCTTCTCATATTACTGCAGCGTTTTGGGCATCCCCCGGTACCCTCTCGGGATGCCCAAATCCCTAGCGTTTTGGGCATCCCCTCCAAAACAATTTGGGATTTCGCGGAAAAATCGAAAACCTTTTAGAGATGGATTCCGCTAAATATACAAATCTGTTCCGGTATCTTAAAAATAAGGTTTATCCGAAAGGCTTTACAAAGCAGGACAAAACAATTCTTAGAAAATTCGCCAAAAAGTTTGAGTATGACTCAAAATTAGAGTCCTTGTTCTACGTGGCCAAGGAGAAGGATGGCACAGCGCTTCGACGTCTTGTTATCGCCGAGGAAGATAAAGCGAGGGTCTTCGAAGAGTGCCACTCTGCTCCTTTTTCTGGACACGCCGGCCGCGATAACACTCTGAGGAAAATCAAAGAGCGGTTTTACTGGCCTGGCTACTACAAGGACACGATAGAAATGGTTAGTTACAAATGTTATTTATTTGCCAATTGATCGTGTTTTTAAAACACCCGCGTTGATAATCGAAAACATACGCTAAATTTCTTCTGTTTTCAGTCTTCTTTGAAAGGGTGAGGCATAATTGCATCTTTTGGTAGGTTGTCAAAGGGCATTGTAAACCGGAGTCCTTCTTATAGATCCCGTTTTACCGGATTTTTCTAAAAAGCCTTCCTTTTTAGCTATCACTGCTTGCAGGATTTTTTTCTAGATATGCCTTTCCCTTGCACTGCAGGTTTTTTTTTTTTTTTTTTGGGGGGTTGTCACCCCACCTCCGGTTATTTCTGACGATTTGAGGCCTCTGTAATTGTGTGACAGCCTTTCCTGTATCAAGTAGCGCTGCGGGGTTACGTTGTACAGGCCTCAAATGTCATGAATACTATGAATGCAACACCGCAAAACGCAGTTTTATTCATGTTTACCTTTTGATTCCTTTGTTTAGTATTCTTGGTTTTGGCTGTTTGGAATCAGACGATCGCAGCTGCTGGCGATTGCTGCATTGCTCGCTTGTAAACAGTTCTATTAAATAAAATTGAAAGCTTTGCAAACAATGAAGTGTTGTGCATCGAAGCGATGTTATGCGGTTGTAAATTTCAGTTTCGTCATGTTTTGAGCCAACGTTTACTGCCTATGGGTTTTTTTTCTGCGCAATTAACCCGGCAAAAAGTGTCGGACGATATAATTCTAACATGCATCTACATTATTTAGCCGTAAATTCGTGATTAACAATCCCGACTTTTCCCCAGTCTGAAATAATTTAGGCAAAGTCGAAGTGATCAGCGTTTTGGGCATCCCCCACCGGGGATGCCCAAAACGCTAGGGATATGGGAATGGGGATGCCCAAAACGCGGGGATGCCCAAAACGCTGTGACACCGCTTTCAGTGACGATTGCGTTTTCGCGTGGACAAGCAAAAACGGTTAAAACACCGGCAACTTGCAGACGCGGTTTTTTCATTTGAAAGTGGAGAAAAAAATCTCCCCTTTCAAACAAAAACGGATAGGTGTGGACTTGGCCTCGGAGTATGCATGTTATCTCCCCCACCTCAAAATATAACATGACTCGAGAGTGAAGTATAAGACTCTTTCTGTCTTTTTTTTAAGGAGTCATTTTTCCGAGGTCTTTACTCCGAAAGCTCAGATGAAGACAGTGGTGTTGAGGAACTAACAGTGGTTCGTCCTTTGACTCGGCGGCGAAGCGTCGTCAGTTTTAATTTGAGTCCTTCATTAGGTGGAGATGAACAATCCTCTGAAGAGGAAAATGACAGGGACAGCGAAGAACACCTTTACTTACCAACTCACGTTCGAACTATTGAAGAAACGTTTGATGCTTGGCATGAATCATTTACACGTTCAGACAGCCGTATCAGTATGTTCAGTTCTGGTGCTGGCTCGCCATTCCCAAGAACACCCCAAATCTTGGAGGAAGAAGAAGAAGAAGAAGGGGAAGTCACCCCGAAATTTATGAACGAAGAGGACGCCCTGGAGACTCAGTCAAGCTACAGTATGTCAAGTGTTCAGGAAAGTGAAGTTTCGGTTGGGAACAATTTTAGACCCGTCTCACGGATGAGCTTTCTTAGTGATGATTTTGAGAAGACTTTAAATGCGAATGAGATATCTAGGGCTAGCTCCGCGTCCGCCAGTAGTGTCTCAATGGCGATGGAAACGGCCAGTCAGAATAGCGTAGTCCACGAAGAGTTAAATGTAGGGAATGAAAACGATGAGAAGTCCTTTGGGACAGACGAAATGACGCGGAGTCTGTCTTCTGTGGTGAGTTTTATTACGGAGCATGGCCAAGTTTCAAGGAGTTCATCAACTTTGGAGAACGTGGATGGTGAAACAGTGCGGTACGAAGTGTCATCAAAAGAATGTGTAGAACACAATGCTTCCAGTCCTCCAAGTGAGAGAGACGTGGATGTTGTATTGAGCATCGATGAACAAAATTCGAACGCGCCTGGTGCCGTGGCGGTAGGAGGTGAAAACATACGTATGTCAGAAAGTGTTGTGGTTGCCATGGGGAAAGATGATGTATCGACCGTAGAGTCTGAAAAGAATGCAAGTACGCTGAATATTGATGTTGATGAAGACAATTTTTCCCCTGTTGGTGATGACAAAGATGAAGTTACAACACAAACGTCCGATGGTGGAAAGATACCAAGTATAGTAGAGACTATGTGCAGTGATTATGAGGACGGAGAGCTTACCATCACTGGGACCTCTGTGGATTCAGTCAATGAAGAAAACAGCGAGACGGTTAGAGAGGTAGCGAGTGAAGAATTGTCCCAAGCAAATGAAGACATGGAGGAGTCATCGGTGAATAGTGTAGCTGAAGGAAAAGATAAAGATGACGAGAAACAGGAGAAGGAGGTGTTTGGTGATTTAAGCAAAGAAGATTGTCTTCATTGCCGGAGCATTTCTCAAGGTAAAGATGCAGTTCTGATTGACGGTTTCCATGACAGTTTAAACGATGTTGATGATTCAGCGCAGTCCAAGCTGTTAGACCCAAGTTCTGAAACGTCAACGATGTTAGCTGATCATTGCACCGATCAGAAAGACTCGGAAAAAGAGAGTTTGGCTCACCAAGATATACCAACGGAACTGGATGGTAAATCTGAAGCCGGGGCGCAAGAAAGCAAGTCTCTAGTAGAAGAAGAAAGCGAAAAAAAAGTAGCCAATAAACCTGACTCAACTGAGCCCCCGATTTCCTCCGAACATTGTGAATCACAGGAATCCCAGTCAGTTACTGAGCCACAGGACGCACCGGAAGACGAAAACGATTCTCAGGACGAATCTGAAAGTAAAAATGAAGGCAACGACGAGGATGATGAAGGAGGGTACACAACGGAAGCAAGCGCCACAACTCTGCAAGGAATTCGTGGCGTTTTGGGCCGTCGACGGCTAACACGCTGCAGCACAGCGGCCACGTCGATAGGATTGGATATCGACGATGAATCCGCTTTCAGTGAAGACGGATTCGATGCTGAGGAAAAACCTTATGATTTAGCAACAAAGGATGGTTTGGAAGCTTTTAAACAGTTTCTTTTGGATACAAGCGGTGAAAAAATGTTGCAGTTCTGGTTAGAAGTTGAGTGTGGAAGACACTTGGACGATCATGGCCAAAAGAACAGGTGGGTGCAGTTGCGCCGCCTTCAAAAAACACTTTCAAAATTTCTTCTTTATCAACCTTTAAAGCTGCAATTAAGCAATTAAAAAAAATCGCAAGAAATGTTTGAGCTAGAACCACGAGATGGAAGGCAACATAGTTTTAAGCAAAACGCGAGACTCGCGCACTTCTCAGTCTCACATAGTATCCCTTATGTTTCTTTTATAGCCTACGTTTCGAGCGTTTCCAAACGAGTTATTGGGTGAAAGTTAGAGCTAGAGCAAAATATTACTCTTTTTTTACTCTTGTCCCAACTTGCTCGACGAGCTTGCGTGGAAACGCTTGCTATGCAGTCTATTTCTTTTATTTCGTGAAAACGAGTAGTTTTCGCGATTCGGTAGAAAATGACTTAAGTTCACGAAAATCTTGCAGATGGGGACAATAAGGTTTTCAATGAATCGATACTAAAACCTTTATCTAGCATGCATTTAAAAACCATGTATTTTTCCACAATACTGGCTTTATTTGTAGATCCTTAAGTTATCATTACGGCAGTCATACTTTAACGCACGTAACACTACTGTTACAATATGAAGTTGCTAAAACAGTGGTGCTTGTATTTGTTAGGCTGGTGCAGAATATACGCGACAGGTATTGGAAAAGTGGAGGGATTTACGAGTTCTCTGCTGCAACTAAAACAAGATTAAAAATGTTAGACGCGTCACTGTTAACCTTCAACAGTTTGTTTGCTGTTCAACCTGATGTTCTTGAGCCTTTGTTAAGTTATTGGTAAGTTTATTTGACATTGGTGAAGTACAGAAAATGGAGCAGTTGTGATTGCATACTTCCTCAGTTATTTCCTAATACAATTTACCTGTTTACAGGAGTATCCGATTCACCATGCACCAACAACGTCGTTCTGTTTCCCGCGACCTGGAATACACAAGACTTGCTAAAGAAAGACCCAAGTCTTGCATGAAACGCGAAAGCGCCCTTTCAAACCTGCCTCAAGTTCCTGCTCATACGGGCTTGGCCCAGGTGCACTCGGACAAGCTAACTACCAGGCCCCAGAGCAGTACCGTCAAGAAAACTACCCAGCACCAGACTTCCAGGCCTCAATTGCGTGCCAAGTCCGCGCATCCTAGGCTTCTGCAAGCCAATAAATGCATCCATACCAACGCCAGTACAAAGCAGTTGCAGGCAAGTAGTAAAGGAGCTCTGTCATGATTGTCTCGTTCATTTTGTTGGTAATGAGCTTACGCAACATGACGGAAGAAAGAAGAGGACAGTAAAACGTTTATGTCTGACAAATATGACAGGGCTATTATTTCTGTGTTTTGTCATGATCTTCACGTAATATCATTATGTTCTGGTCTTTTACAAAACGATCTGTTTAAACGAGCTGTGTCGCCAATTTTGAAAACTCGGGTCGTTGTGCGTTTCTGGGAAGCTGCCCACCTACCCCTCTCCTAAGCCAACATTAACACTTACTTCTCACTTGGTTAG